GTTCACCGAATCACTTGGGGGGAGACCAGGATTGTGCATCAGTAAACGCCTTATCTATTATCAGCTTGCTTTGCAATACGGACTATCACCTATTATATTTATTTCAAGGCCACATAGTGTTATATTATTGACGAATGTGTCGCGCTTATTTTCTGTTATCTTATCTTTACTTTCGCAACAACAACTAAACGTCGCCAATCGAGAAAAGTGACTGGAACATGCACGATTTATCCTTGCTCATGTTGCCATGATCTCTATTGCTGTTCGACGCTTTCACGTGGCGAATGTATTGTCGCTGTGTCCCCGCTGCTAACCGGGGCGCGTGGAATAATTCCCACCGTGGAAAATGGCACCGGTGCCGTCTTGATGAGACGATACACAGGAGGTCGTGGGTTCTATCTCGACCCTGACGCCTATATGTTTGGAGTTTGCATGTTCTCACCGTACTCTTTGGTTCTATTCGGTAAAATCACCTACGTGACTTTACCGAATAGAACCAAAGAGTATGGATCCTTGCAGTCACGAAAGCTTCAAATCTAGAATGCTCTCACCGTGGCCGCGTCGATATTTCTCTGGGTCCTCCGGTTTTACCCTCCACGTAAAAAAAATGTGCGTTTAGAGTATTTAGCTGCTATAAATGTCCACGCGATATGCCACTTCGTTGAGCTATCATTTGTGGCCAGGTCGCTTCTGAAAAAGAGCTACATAGCTCAGTGTGCCTTGCCTGGTAACACTTCGATTTCCTCGTTTGTCTACATATGGTGCGAAAGAAGTTCAACATACATAAAAATAGTTTAATCGTTATTTTTGTACAGTTTATAGTTTACAATGTGTTGACACAATTAAACCTAACCCGGCCCCATGAGAGGAGAGGCGCTCTGGGCTTAGATCACAGGCACGGCTGTGCTGGCTGTACGCCATCATTGCCATTCCTTGCGACGCGGTAAAGTCTCTTAATGAGCACAACTGCAGGCAGGATCACGAGTTCACCCTTCCTCGTTTCTGTTTCAGAACCCCAAGCAATCTTTTCGACTAAAAGCAAAATGCACATGTTGTTGGCGCGCGCGTTCATATTGTCGAGCTGCAGCGCCAACGAGCAACCCAACGAGCCACGGAGGCTATCTTCGTTTGTTCATTACACTTTTAAACGATGACGTTGGAAGACGTGTGACATTTTTCACGGAATTTTATTTCTCGCAAATACAAAGCAATGACAATAGTCGACCGAATTCTTATTCCGAACCGGATCCATCGATTTTACTTAGAGGGCCCGAGTCTTATCACAACTGGAAAGTTCGCCAGCAATTCTTCCAGCAAGCCTGACTACTGATGAGACACTGTATGTCAAAACCGGTGCAGAGATTGGTTGTAAATTAACCGATCCAATTATGCTGAAATGGTGCACTTCCAGAAGGCCTGGTGGCTGTGAGGATGTGCGATTATTTTTTATGGGTAGCGATAGATATACGAGGAATATGTTTCATCTGCTTATTTATTCTGTTCCTTATATTCTCCCCATTGACGATAATCATAATTTTATTCCGTGTGTAGTGACGTAAATGGTGTTTAGCGCCAGCTAATGTCACAAGAGTGGAACTGTGCGTCTTGAACCTCTCTCTGGCACCAGAGTATGTATGGCATGGAAGCAGGCCCTAGGGGGCATGGTTCTGGTGGCAGAGAGAGGGCAAGTCAGGACATGACAGTCTGGGTGAACCCGAGAGGGCACGTGACCGGGACAGGGTAGCGAGGGGGCCCAAAGGGTGTCTTGAGGGACACGTGATGCTTGGTCGAGAACCTTCTGGTGAGATACAGAAGGGGGCGTGGCCGAGGGCGGAGCGAGGCCACGCTTGGGAGCATAAAGGAGAGGTCCCGAGAGCGATCGCGGCTGTCTGCTGGAATAGAACCCTCGGCGATACGTCCCTTCGGTCTTCGGTCAAGTCTCGGCATCGTGGATCAAGCAGTGTGTTACTGACCTGACCCGTGTATGTCGTTACCCTGTTGGGGCCTAGTAACAGTATACGTGTATGTAGAAACCCTGTTGGGGTATCATAACAAACGTGTTTCCTCCAAAGCCAAGTGTGTGCCTCCGTGGAACCCACTACGCGTGTAATAACTAAATATACGGTTTTGTGTAACATTCTAGGTTTTTAAGTAAATAATAAAATATTTTTTACTATTACCATCTGTCGGCCTTCAATAACTTTGCTAACGTCTAGACTTGGGTTGTTGAGAAGGCCAATAGCCCGACAATAAAAATTATCTCTTCTAAAATTGTACCTGTTTGCATGGAAATTCAGAACCAAGGTGGTTTTATATTCTTAGCGAATTATAAATGTCCAATTTGCGTCTGTGCTGCACATCCCTCTGGTGTATGTTTGGGTTGTGCGGCTCAAAAGCCCGGACACACGTCAGGAGAACCGAGTCGACATTGTTCCCATGTGTCTCGGCAGTGACATTACGTATTTATCTGGAATTATTAAAAAATGAAAGTGTCACGCTTCTCAAAATATATTATGGTTTCGGACATGGTGGTGAATGCCTGCAATCCAACTCTTTGCAGTCGGCTTGTGATAGTTTGCCCAGCCACAATTCATTGGCCAGGAGGCTGCAGTACAGAAAGCAGGCTTGTCACCTGTCTGCACGGTTTTCTTTTCGAGTGTGCAAGGTTTTTTTGTTTGTCCTGGAAACGAACTTCCTTTTTTTCTTATCCACCAGGGACGCTGCCGTGGTGTGATCGTTAGCCCACTGCACTTGCAACCCAGACGTTCGATTCCATCTGCCTGCACGGCCATTGAAACGACAATGCAAGCCTGTTAAATCCCACCCACTGCCTCTGTCCACCCAGTGGATAAAATGGATTCACCAGCACAGTTATTCTATCGGCAAGTCGCGTGTGGTGGGGAAAAGGGTGGCTACCCCCACCTCTTCCAAAATCTCTGGCTAAATGGGGAAGAGCGGGCAAAATACCCTCCAGATGGGGCTCTCTACAGCTCTCTCGAAGTGCAGCAGTGGCGTGAGCAAGCATTTACAGACCTGCACCTTTGTCTTTGCCCAATATTTTTCCCACGTAAAACACTCGCAAATGGAATCGGCCAAAAAATTCCAATGCGAGATCCTCCTGAACAAGGTGTTTTCGGACTCAGTGCGTTTTTTCTGCATAAACAATGGGCATTGCTAGGCTTATATGATTATATTCATCGTTATTGGGTGTAAATTGGCGTTTCTTGAGAAAACCCATAAGCATAAGAGAGGCTCTTATCTTTGGGACTCTTTTGCCACTATCAAGATATTGAATGATAAAAGGCTTTACCATTTCTCGCATAAATACAGGTGTTAAAATGTTCAAACACCACATAGACATCTATTACAAGGCATCAAGTCTGCATCAACCACACATACTTGTGGAAAAAAATCACAAATGTTTGGCTATGTATATATGTTGAACTTCCTTCGCATGGTACGTAGCCAACCGTGCTAATCGGAGGTGTAATAAATGTACATTTGGTGTTTGAACATCTAATAATACCTTTGTTTATGCACGGAATGGTTAATAATTTTTTGGGTCGCCATGGTGGTGAGATGTTAACTTACCACGCCTGGCATAACGGAGGTCGTGGGGTTTGCATGTTCTCTCCATTGTCGTCTGGATATTTCTCCGGGTCCTCTGGTTTTTCGCTCCAGATTTAGAATCAAGAGTATTTGGCTACTATACATTCCCACATGATAAGCCACTTCATTGAGCAATGTTTTGTGGCCAGGTCGCTTCAACAGACGCTCTTGTTTATTTACCAGTGTATTATCCACAATTCTACGTGACAGCGTGGCGTCAGTTTCACCAGTTAACCCAGCAGCATTCGCGAATGCAACTCAGATTGCTCTGTATCCCTGTAGCTTGAAACATCACCAATTGGTAGTTCCCCTCTTTACAATTTAAATACAAAATTCTCTAGAGTTTTTACCAAAACGTTTGAATTTTTTTTAAATAAAATACTTCAAAGCTATATAAGAGGCCACGCGCTGCTTATGAGTCTTATTTTCAACTGCTCCAGGGTTTTCCAGTTTGACCAAATTTTACAGGAAAACATTGGTCCAGCCCCATAGGCTGATGGTCTACATTTTATTTGATCATTATGCAGAGGTGGACAGCCTCCTGCCCGTTTATTTTGTAGGCTTGTGATAGTTCGAACAAAGACGGTCACTGCATCGCTTTCAGATGCGCTTCTGCGGCCGTCTGGAACGCTGCTCTTTCCGATATTAGTAATCCACTGGAGCTATGCACTTTTAAATCTGGACTGAAAACTCATTACTTTAGAACTGATTTTTGTTTTTATTTTGTTGTCCTTTCCCCGCACCTCCGATTCTCACGGTTGGCTATGTACGGTGCAAAAGAAGTTCAACATACATACATTTACATGTGCTTCATTCTCAATCCTCTGTGATAGCGCGTAATAAAAAAATTGTACAATATAGATATTACAATTGCGTCTTCTGTAATTGGTGAATAAAATAAATAATCTTTAGTGGTGGCTGGGCGGCTTAGAGGTCAGAGCGCTGAGCTGGCACCGCTGAGATGTTGGTGATTAAACCGGGTTCTCAAGTGACGTAAGTCTCTGCCTTGGTCACAGATGACTGCACAAAAAAAGCCATCGCATTACATTTTGTTTAGCACATAATTTAGCTAAAGTCCACGTGGATAAACATTACTCCGTGTGGCAGAACAGGGGGGAAATTGCTGTGCTCTACTGTGTGAACCAGAACTCGCTTGAAGGGATCTTAGCGGTAGTTCTGTGATAGCTGCTTTAGTTGGCCATTCTCAAACAACTGCTTTCTATGCCAGTTGCGAATGGGTTCTCTTTCCCAAGATATGCAACCGATGGCACAATGGGGATAACATTTGTAAAATAACAACAAAAATGTAAGTCTTGGACAAAAAAAAATAATCTATTTTTCTTGCTGCCCCTTTCCCCACGTTTACGCTGCCACTTGCGAGCGCGTCTCACCAGCCGCAGGAGTCGTGCTGCAGAAGAGACGCGATTCCACCGCCGCGCCGATGTCGCCAAACAGCTCCCCTTCCTCCCGGTCGGCGTCGAACTTCCACGGTGAGACGTGGGGGTGGGGGGCGGGTGGGTGAGAACACCGAGGTCAGAGCAAATCGTTACGAGACAGGCAATCCGCCCAGCACAAGCGGCTGAGGGCGCGAGTCCTAACGATGACTCCGGTCCAATTTGCGTGCTCCACCTAAGCCTGAATGACAGCGACATCAAGCCACAAGGCTCCGCAGGCAATCTCGCCAACATGTTTTACATATTTCTTTCATATGTTTTTTTTTAATGTATAGCATACGTCCACGTATTCAGTTCATGTAGGTATATATTTAATTGGAACAAGACCTTTCATGCTAGCTATCGCTCATTAAAATCCGAGCTGTGGTTTAAAAAAAGGAAAATTCAGACAAAATGTTAAATGTGGAGTCACATGAGCAGCAGCATCGGTAATCAATCCACTGCTGGAAGCCATTGCCATCTCTTCACACAATCCTGCGATGTAACAATCAATCTAACACCAGCACACGAACTGATTTCATTGTTTCATCTCCTTGGCAGACGTCCCATCGAGCACATTGCCTCCCTTGGATGCAATTCTGTTCCTAACTTCTCGCCCATTGGCCGTCATCCTCACCTAGTTTTCTCAAGAATAACATTTAAAAGACTTTCGCGGTCACTGTAAACTGCCAACGTAATGGCCCACTGGCAGTGGCGTGTGTCAGCGGCGTAGCGATCCGGTGAGCAGGCGGCGCAACTGCACCAGAAGGGCCCAAGTGCCGGGCTGTGACAAGGGCGGCGACTGGGCAGGGACGAGGGCCACATTGAATTCATGAGGGCCCATGCAAAGCAACACCACGGTGGCTAGGAGATGTTAACTACCTCGCTGGGTATACAGGATGTCGTGGGTTTGATCCCGACCCTGATGCCTGCTGCTGTATATTTGGAGTTTGGGTGTCTCTCTCTCCCCATTGTCGTGTGGATTTCTCTCCGGGTCCTCCAGTTTTTTTCCGTTCACATTTTGAAACGTGCATTTACAGTATTTGGCTGTTATAAATTTCCACGTGATAAGCCACTTCGTTGAGCTATCATATGTGGCCAGGTCACTTCTGAAAAAGAGCTACTGTATATTGCGCAGTGGGCCTTACCTGGTAAAACGCTGATGAGTGTGTTTGGCTACGTACGGTGCGAAAGAAGTTCAACATATATATACATAAATATTTTTTTAATAGTTTAAAATACAACTAACCCTAATCCAGCCCCGTGAGGTGCTGTGGGCACTGAGCACAGCCGCCGCTCTGCTGCCTGCACACCAGTCATTGCCATTCCTTGCGATGCGGTAAAGTCTCTTAATGAGCACGAATGCAGGCAGGATCACGAGCTCACCCTTCTTCGTTTATAGCAGGGGTCGGGAACCTATGGCTCGCGAGCCAGATGTGGCTCTTTTGATGATTGCATATGGCTCGCAGATAAAACAAAATATTCTCACTTGTTTTAATCCATCCATCGATTTTTCACTGCGCATGTCCTGTTCAGGGCTGCAGGAGCAATTGTCCATTATTTTAATTGGATGATACTGGCCTACGTTTGCCGTTGCTGGGTAAAACAGGTAAACGCCCCCTTTTGAATCAGTCTGAGACTGCGTCTGCTCGGTCATTAGCTCAAAGCTAACCCTTCGACGAAGAAGATGGCGAAAAGAAAAAAAGACGACGAGTATCGTACATTTCAGGACGAATGGACAGAAGAATTCGCCTTTGTGGAGAGAGCGGGTTCTGCGGTGTGTCTAATTTGCAATGACAAAATTACATCGTTGAAACAGTCGAATGTAAAGCGGCACTTCGACACGCGCCACGCTACCTTTGCATCAAAATACCCTGCGGGAGACAGCAGAAAGAAAGCGTGCCAAGAGCTTCTGAGCAGGGTGCAAGCTAGCCAGCAGCAACTCCGCGTATGGACCCGGCAAGGTGACTATAATTCGGCTAGCTTTGCTGGTTCTTTAGCAATAGTGAGGAACGGAAAACCATTCACAGATGGCGAGTATGCTAAAACGTTCATGCTGGATGTAGCCAATGAACTTTTTGATGATCTTCCGAACAAAGACAAGATAATCAAACGGATACAAGACATGCCTCTGTCGGCAAGAACTGTTCATGATCGTACCATCGTGATGGCAAACAAAGTGGAGGAAACGCAAGTGAAGGACATAAATGCAGCGCCGTTCTTTTCTCTGGCTTTGGATGAGTCAACAGACGTGAGCCATTTGTCGCAGTTCAGCGTGATTGCAAGATATGCTGTTGGTGACACACTGCGCGAAGAAAGTCTTGCTGTTCTGCCATTAAAAGGGTCCACAAGAGGTGAGGATTTATTCAAGTCTTTCATGGAGTTTGCTCAAGAAAAAAGTCTACCTATGGATAAACTTCTCTCAGTGTGTACTGATGGTGCTCCGTGTATGGTGGGGAAAAACAAAGGATTTGTGGCGCTTCTCCGTGAACATGAAAATAGACCCATCCTAAGTTTCCATTGCATTATACACCAGGAGGCACTTTGTGCTCAGATGTGTGACAGGCAGTTTGGCGAAGTGATGTCGCTGGTCATTCGTGTGATCAACTTTATTGTTGCCCGAGCCTTAAATGATCGCCAGTTTAAAACACTGCTGGATGAAGTTGTAAATAACTATCCTGGTCTGCTTTTGCACAGCAATGTGCGTTGGTTGTCAAGAGGGAAGGTGCTTAGCCGTTTTGCGGCTTGCCTGAACGAAATCCGGACTTTCCTTGAAATGAAAGGCGTCGGGCATCCTGAGCTAGCCGACACCGAGTGGCTCCTCAAGTTTTACTATCTCGTAGATCTGACTGAACATCTGAACCAGCTCAACGTGAAAATGCAAGGCATTGGAAATACAGTGCTATCCCTTCAACAAGCTGTATTTGCTTTTGAAAACAAGCTGGAGCTTTTCATCACGGATCTTGAAACAGGTCGTTTACTACATTTTGAAAAACTGAGCCAATTTAAAGATGCATGCACAGCAAGTGAGCCCATTCAAAACCTTGATCTCCACCAGCTAGCTGGCTGCACATCCAGTCTCCTACAGTCCTTCAAAGCACGCTTTGGAGAATTTCGTGAGCACACTCGTCTTTTTAAGTTCATCACCCATCCAAACGAGTGTTCACTGAACACAGCCGACCTGAATTACATCCCTGGTGTCTCCGTCAGAGATTTTGAAGCAGAAGTGGCTGACCTGAAGGCCTCAGACATGTGGGTGAATAAGTTCAAGTCACTGAATGAAGATTTGGAAAGAATCACACGACAGAAAGCGGAGTTGGCGAGCAAGCACATGTGGACAGAAATGAAAAAACTCCAACCCGAAGACCAGCTGATTCTCAAAACTTGGAACGCGCTTCCTGTCACATACCACACACTGCAGCGTGTGAGTATTGCTGTATTGACCATGTTTGGATCTACGTATGCATGTGAGCAGTCATTCTCACATCTTAAAAACATCAAGTCCAACCTACGATCACGTTTAACAGATGAAAGCCTCAACGCTTGCATGAAGCTTAACCTCACCAAGTACCAACCCGACTACAAAGACATCAGCAAATCCATGCAGCACCAGAAGTCGCATTAATGGTGAGTGTTATAACAACATTATTTAAAAGAATAAATTCAGAGGCTTATTATACTGACATTTAGTTGAATTCACTTTTAAAATATATTATATGGCTCTCACTGAAATAAATTTCCAAATTTTTTGCTTTCATGGCTCTCTTAGTCAAAAAGGTTCCCGACCCCTGGTTTATAGTTTTGATTCACTGGCATGCATTGCAATGGAAAAAAGCTGAACCACCACCCCAAGGCACCTCTCCTCCCCCCACCCCCCTTGCCAGCCTCCCCTGCTCACGGTGAGGAGCAGGCCGCGCTCCTGGTAGTGCTGGACCAGTGGCACGGTGTGCTGGCGGAAGGTGGCGAGGCGGCGCTCCACGGCGCGAGGGTTGTCGTCCGGGCGACCGTGCCGGTCGGCGCGCTCGCCCAGGCGCTGGCGGAGACGCTCGCTGGCGCACGCCAACAAGATCACCGCGTCCGGGGCTCCCACCTCGCCGTGTGGGTGGTGGGCGGGGGGGGGCGCGGGGGGGTGTGGAGGTCAAGGGGTCAGCTTTAGAGGGCGGCTCGCAGAAGGTCAGAATCGCGGTGTTGGTTGTTTTAACGTCAATAGTGAAGCAAGAGGCAGATTGCGCAGAAGGTCGTCGTGCAAGACTCCCGTGCTGTCGTTGTGAATGTTATTTTTTTATGGTTTCATTTCTATTAATGCATTCTATGCATAAATTACTACGCAAACATGAGCAGTCACCGTCCACATACAAACACCGCTTCATGGAATAGAACACAGAGCCAGATGAGTTTTGCCCCAGCTCTTAGAACAAGACGAAGGCACATTCAGGATTCACGGGGCTCTCATTGCCATCGCCCAAATATCAATCGTGGCCTTGTCACGGGAATGCACCGAGGAGCACGTGAAATATTTTGCTTTGTTGGTCTGAAACTGAAAAATGCTCCCAATGTGCAAGTCTGCTGCCAAATGCATGAGATCTGAGAGTTCTTAAGAGAGGGATCTCCACACACACGCACAGGGATAATTAAAGAGACGGTGCAGCCACACACTGGGTTCCAAGGACTTGAATCCATTGTATTCAAATGCCAGGCAGCTATGTCACGGTGAAGTTTCTGGAGTGCTATAATTGTGCACTTAACCATAACTGTAAAGTTTATGATCCTCCTAAGTCTACGTAAGCATATACATCGCAAGTAGGCATACAAATATATAATTCGGGACCTTCCAACTGTTCAGTGAGAATAAATTATGATCTTGATGATGAATGCTGCTTTTGCAGCTACTGATAATGGTTTCATGATAACGATGATGCTGATTATAATGCTGGTAATGAATTATATAGTTATTTAAATGCTCCCGCTATTTATTGTTTCTCCAAATGATGATGATGATGATGCTTACGATGATTGTGACGATGATGATGATGATGCCACTTCTGTTGAACATGATGGCTTTACCGTTGTTGTTGTTGTTGATGAGCGTTGGGATGACGATACAACTCGACTTGTATGAAGAAGACGCGAGGCCGGTGGCCACTCACCTGCTCCTCAAAGGCCAGAGCTTGTGAAATCTCTCGGGGGAAGCCGTCGATAACGAAGCCGGGGGCGTCCGGGTTCTGCAGAAAGTGTTGCTTCAGTTCCCAAATTGCCGTCTCCTGGACGACCAAAGGAACGGCAGAGCGGTGAAAGTCGTGGACCGTCCGAGAGGGAACGGGACCGACCGAGAGCGGCGTTACCAAATGAGCATGACACCTGTAACGTAACCACACTCTGAACAGTCCTAAACGTAATCTGTCCGATGCAACTCATATTACACGATTTTTTTTACAATGTTGATTTATGTTCACTAAACACATTTTTTTTATTTTACCAGGTAAGGCCCACTGAGCTATAAAGCTCTTTTTCAGAAGCGACCTGGTCACAAATTATTGCGCAACGAATTGGCTTATCCTGTCGAAATGCATAGCAGCCAAATACCCTAAACGCATGTTTCTAAATGTGGAGGGAAAACCAGAGAACCTGGAGTAAAATCCACACGACCATAGGGAGAACATACCAACTACAAATATGCAGCAGGCATCAGGGTCGGAATCAAACTCGCGACCTCCTGTATACCAGGCCACGGTAATTAACATCTCACCACCACGGCACGGGATCTTATTTTAGATGTCTCCTGTGATGCGGTGGTTTTTACGCTACTTTCCATTTAGTTGTTTTTGCTCTGATTTGCTTGTAATTGTGTTGACCCGCACCTCCGATTAGCGTGGCTGGATACGTGCGGTGCGAAAGAAGTTCAACATACATACACACCCAGGCCACTCTTGAAAATGAGAGTTACCACTTGGTAAAACAAATACACTTTAACGTGAACTTGTGCTAATGACATGGACGATTCGGATTGAAAGAATGACTGTCATTGGAATGTACTCGTCATAAGAACGTGGAATCACTGATCCATTATTATGAGTTGTTTTGAGAATTATAATCCGTCTGGGAATATCTCAATTCCGATATCTCCTCCCGGTCACCTGTGGAGCGAGCTCCCCCTTGGATATGATCTGGGCGATGAGCCTCCACTTGCGGTTGCTGGGCGCTCTCTGCAGCACGTGTTGGCGCAGCACCTCCCCAAGCGACACGCACACCAGCCCGTAGCTCTCGCTCAGCTTGCGGCTCTGCGTGCCCTTGCCGCTGCCCGGTCCACCTGGCGGTGCGGGGGACGGGGTCATCAACACCGATACCAATGAGCGACGTCACCTTGAGCCCACGTGAAGTGTCGAAGGCTCGCTGCTGGCAGGAGATCACAGGACAGACCCAGGTGCCATGGGTTGATTGACTGAGATCACTGGCAAACGCACGTTGTGCAGCCTACTGTCCCAACTTGCTGCACTGTATCCGTCCGCGCTCCTCTCGTTGTTGCGAGCGTCACTCTTCTGCCCTTCGTTACTGTTGGAGGGCAACTGCCTCCAACTGACCAGTAGCATCCTTCACAAGCCTCATTGTCACACACACACACGTGTACGATACCGCCAATAACAATACTTTCATAGCTCCCCATAATGCTGTACAAGAATTATATATATGGACCAAATCCCATATACAACCACTACCAAGCAAATGAAAACCCGATTACCAAGCAAAATATTAAATTAATGAACAAATTCAGAAATGACACCAAAACAAAAAGCACAAACAATAAACCAAGTTATCACAACAAAGCTAAATATAAAAATATATTCTGATAATAATAAACTCACAACATTCATCAATACTAGCCTTAAAAGTAAAACATACGGTAGTAGGTGACGTTTCAGGCGTTGGTCCTTCTTCAGGGCTTAGTAGTCTCCAAGGTAGGTTGCACCTCTGCCAGTTTGAACCTTGCCAGTTCTCGACAGTGCACTTGGCTAGACGGCATGCATGCTGGTGCAGCCCAGACAGCCCCGGTGATTTCAAAAAAGCTGTCCCAGTGTCCCGCCCCCCACTCTCTTTCCCCGAGAAGAGCTTTGGTGAAAATCGTGGCCTCTGGATTGCAAGTCCAGTCAGTGTGCTCCCCATTATACCGCTGCAGCATCAGTGGCATAATGCTCGTTGAAGGATCGCTCCACATTTAAAACGTCCCGACCCTAATTCCTCAACTGGGGAGGCGGGGTCTACAGACCCACGCTCTACAGCCGATGTAGTATCGGAGTGGACCGCACAGGCTGAGTTTAATCTGGGTAACTTCTGAAATTAAATCAGTGCATATGTATGATGAAATTCTTTCACGCCATACGTAGCCAACCGTGCTAATCGGAGGTATGGGAGAAGGACAAAAATCTTAACACAAAATGCAGTTTTCAGTCTAGCTAGATGTAAAAGTGCATAGCTCCAGTGGCTCCCTAATATTGGAAGGAAGAGCTTTCCAGACGGCCGCAAAAGCGCAACTGAAAGCGCGTGATGCAGTGACTGCCAGCCAAAAGGCGCTGCTCCGGGATGACTGGAGTTCGTGTGACGATGGTTGATGTTCCTTGACGAGATCAGCGAAGTATTGTGGTTCATTTGTGGCGAGCACTTTGTGTAATGCCATCGAGAAGACGACAGTGGGGCAATCATTATCACTCTGGGCCATGAACGACGCAGTGACCCGAGTTCGATTCCTGACCACAGCAAACAAGAGCGGCGAGTGGTGTCTGATCCGGTATGAGCCCTTGCACTTCACCGACCCGTAGTGACGAGCATGGGGAAGCATGTTCACGGTGGTGTGAGGAGGCCTTCATCCAGCAGTGGATTGGCGCTGGAAGTTATTGTTTTTGTTACGCCATGATGCAGCAAGTGATTGGTGGCTGGCAAGACACTGGGCAGTTACCACTGCTCTGCCAGTGTTTGTGGATGCCACTGAAATTAATCAAATGAAGGTTAAAAAAATATATAAATTATATAAAAGGTCAACAGTAAGCTCTGAACAAGCAGATAGCTGCTGGAATGTGTATATTGCCTGTCCGGCAATGAGTTTAAACAACAACAACAACAAGAAGTTCAAGTAACTGCTGTCGTGTCTAAACTGCACTCGCATATCAATATGCTCTACAAAAATGAGACCGTGCAAGACGATGATTTGTGTATGGTGATGGAAACAGGCAGGCGGCCTCGTGCTCCCCTGGGGGACTGGTGGTCATGCCCTGTGCTCTGATTACATATCAACGTCTAGCAGCCGCAACAGGAGTCGTAAGTAATCGGATGTCCAAGTGGATCAACAAAACACGCAACGCATGCATTCATGTATAACAGTGTGGCCTTAAAAGTTAACATATGTTACAGGCGACGTTTCGGACAATGGCCCTTCTTCATAGCACATTAAAATGGTTGGCAAGCATGATACCAGGTTTAGTTTGAGCAGGAAATAATTTTGACTGAACTAAACTATTTTTTATTTTTCCAGGTAAGGCCCACTGAGCTGTATAGCTCTTTTTCAGAAGCGACCTGGCCACAATTGATAGGTCAACAAAGTGGCTTATCGTGCGGAAATTTATAGCAGCCAAATACTCTAAACGCACGTTTATAAATCTGGAGGGAAAAACTGGAACCAGAGAAAAACCCATACGACCACGTAGAGAATATCCAAACTCCAAATATACAGCAGCAGACGTCAGGGTAGGGCTCGGACCCACGTCCTCGGGCATACCAGGCGAGGAAGTTAACATCCTCCTAGCCACCACTGAATTTGAGTTTGAGTGCACAAGTAAGACGCTGAGTATGACGAGTGAGCATCAGCTAGGCCAGCATTAGATAGGATGATAATGGAACTCAGCTGCTCAAGATTTGCAGTTGCAGTCAGATCATTATCTGCAGCAACTCGATTCGGACAGAAAAATCCATGGATAATGACATGGATATCTCCAGATATTTAAACGCTTAGAGAATACATTTCTCGGGAACAACACAGGCCGTATATTTTAACGACCCAGCTTTACAGAGCTGTATTGTAGTTCTCATATCCTTCAATTAACCAGGAGATTAAATATAGAAGACCAAACTAAGGCATATTTAATATTCTTCGGTATCTCTGTCGTGGCATCTGAAAGTGAGCACATCAATGACATATCAAGGTCTGCCCAATTAGCAGTAAAACTGATATGTGCTGGCGCTTCCATAGATACCTTAATACAAAGCAGTATTCTCGTTCACATTCTCACATTGCCCTGTTTTTACATCTTCCAGGTGGATTTTAACTTCTTGAAAGCGTACAAATCTACACAGCATGCCCTGGAGGGTTCGCAATTGGCGGCCACGACATTTGCACGTCTAAATAAATACGATGCTCACGATGATAATATATTCCTCATGAATGATGTATGTCACATTAATGGTTGAGTGTCTAGTCACGAGGGTCCATGCCACACCAGTCATCTCACAAGCACAATGACGCAAGTTTAATGCCTGCTGCTGACGTTTTGTTGTCCAGACTATTTTCGCGTTATACGACTAGCCGAGTAATCAATCTGATTATCGATAATCGACCACGTATACAATCAATTTATTTGGCGATTTATTTTACGTCACTGCATCGTGCGCTTTCAGATGCACTTTTGAGGCCGTCTGGAACGCTCTTCCTTCCCATATTAGGAAGCCACTAGAGCTATGCATTTTAAAATCTAGATTGAAAACGTATTTCTTTAGAACTGACTTTTATGTTTAGTTTGTTTTCCTTCCCCTGCACCTCCGATTATCATGGTTGGCTACGTACGGTGCGAAATAAGTTCAACATACATACTGTACGTGCTGTGTTCATACTTTTGTGCCATATTGATGTTCTATGCAGACGGGCAAATTGTCCAACGTGTTGCATGTATTATATATTTTTAGTTTGAAGGATCAGACCGGGTCTGAAGGAAATCATTAATTCTATCCCAGTTCCGGACCGGGGCTCGAACCCAGGGATTGAGACACTGGCCTGAGAATCAGATTCCATAGAGACACTCACCCCAGGACTCGAACCCAGGGATTGAGACACTGGCCTGGGATTCAGATTCCATAGAGACACCCACCCCAGCACTCGAACCCAGGGATTGAGATACTGGCCTGGGAATCAGATTCCATAGAGACACCCACCCCAGCACTCGAACCTAGGGATTTAGATACTGGCCTGGGATTCAGATTCCATAGAGACACCCACCCCAGCACTCGAACCCAGGGATTGAGATACTTGGCTGGGATTCAGATTCCATAGAGACACCCACCCCAGCACTCGAACCCAGTGATTGAGACACTGGCCTGGGAATCAGATTCCATAGAGACACTCACCCCAGGACTCGAACCCAGGGATTGAGACACTGGCCTGGGATTCAGATTCCATAGAGACACCCACCCCAGCACTCGAACCCAGGGATTGAGATACTTGGCTGGGATTCAGATTCCATAGAGACACCCACCCCAGCACTCGAACCCAGGGATTGAGATACTTGGCTGGGATTCAGATTCCATAGAGACACCCACCCCAGCACTCGAACCCAGGGATTGAGATACTGGCCTGGGAATCAGATTCGATAGAGACACCCACCCCAGGACTCGAACCCAGGGATTGAGACACTGGCCTGGGATTCCATAGAGGCCCCCCCCCCCCCCCCCAGAACTCGAACCTCACCCGGACTCCAGGATTGCAACTTTGCTGGTGCCAGTCCATTAAATAATAATTAAATACCAAAAGCTGAAATTATGTTTGGGTTAAATGCTTGAATAGAAACATGACATGTTTGATAAGCTACATAATAATTATGCCACAGATGCCTGAAGTAATTAAGTTAATATAATAATTTCAATTAACATAATTTTATTACTTTAGTGCTAATTAGAATGTAGTGCCAATTAAAATGATGCGCTTTGTTATGTTTACCCATATTATGTTTTGTGTCGATTCATTGGTGACTGGGCTGTAACCCCCCCCCCCCCCCCCCCCCCCCCGTCTCTCTATACTGCCGGGAGCTCACGCAACACAGAATCTCAGTGAGGCCAGCGACATGCATGACAGGCTCTTGTACCACTCACTTCAGATTCTGCTTTAGAATCAGAAGATGTATTTATCATGGAGGAATCCGATGGGCTATAAAGCTCTTTTTTTACAGATGAGCACTGCGCCGCTCGCCACAAACGTGAGGAGCACCTAGCCTGGCACGGGAGCCCTGGTGCATCACCGCCACTCGCGTGCCAAAATAGTTGTTGTTGTGAGTATGTTCGTGAGTTCGTTTGCACCTCTCATTCCCGCACCTCCAATAAGCACGGTTGGCTATGTACGGTGCGAAAGAAGGTTCAACATTCATGCATACAAAAAGAGTCTTCGGAGTCAGTGGGGCTTTCTTGATATTCATGTTAAGTTGTCATATTACTAATAATTGTTATCACGTGACCTAGAACTGCCTCGCCTGGGGGGAATTGAGCCCAGGACTTACGAGGCACCACCACCACAGGGGGTGGTGGTGGTGGTGCATCAGTTGAGGGACAGCTGATGCACCACCAGCACCACCACAGGGGGTGGTGGTGGTGGTGCATCAGTTGAGGGACAGCTGATGCACCACCACCACAACCACCACAGGGGGTGGTGGTGGTGGCGCTTCAGTAGAGGGACAGCTGATGCACCACCACCACAGGGGGTGGTGGTGGTGCATCAGTTGAGGGGCAGCTGATGCACCACCACCACAGGGGGTGGTGGTGGTGGTGGTGGTGCATCAGTTGAGGGACAGCTGATGCACCACCACCACAACCACCACAGGGGGTGGTGGTGGTGGCACTTCAGTTGAGAGACAGCTGATGCACCACCACCACCACAGGGGGTGGTGGTCGTGCATCAGTTGAGGAACAGCTGATGCACCACCACCACCACAGGGGGTGGAGGTGTCGCTTCAGTTGAGGGACAGCTGATGCACCACCACCACCACCACAGGGGGTGGTGGTGGTGGTGGTGGCGCTTCAGTTGAGGGACAGCTGAACCCGGACTGGAAGCCCCCGGGCTGTGGCGAGCTCGCGGCGTCCCCCTCACCGATGACGAAGACGACCTTCGGGCGCGGGTGGCCGGGCTCGAAGACGTCGAGCTCCTGCGAGAGTTCGCTCGTCTCCGTGAGCCCCGTGTCGCTCTCGATGGAGAACTGCTGCTGGATCGGGGGCAGCCGGCGGTAGCCACGCAGCCCGGCCACGGGGGCCTCTGAGAGGGTGGGGGGGGGGGGGGGGCACCGCGTAGTCATCAATACATCGTCATCAATACATCTCAATCATCAATACATCGTCATCAGAACAACGTCATCAGATCAACGTCATCAACGCTCGGCCCCGTCTTCAGGGGCTCTGAGAGCGTGAATGGCATCTTCGTCATCATGCACCTCCGATTAGCCCGGTTGGTGGCGTACGGTGTGAAAGAAGTTCAACATACACACATCATCATCATCACGCAGCAGGCACGACATCATCATTGTTACCACCATCACTACCGTGAATCGTCACTATTACCGGTGTCACCGACCCATCGTCACAGTTATCATCATCATGAGTAAAACATCATCACTCTTGCCACCATCACGCACACATGATCACCACCATCACTGCCAGTTTTTAAACATGGCTGTTACCATCATCACCACCACTATTCCCATCATTATTTTCATCATGACGCCTATCGCATCGGCGCTTTGATTTTTACAATAATAATACAAATAAACAACCAGAGTGCTGCATTAAAAAAACATATCATACATTGCTATGATAATATTATGCCGTAAACTTGGGAAAGATCACAATAATCACTAGCGATGCATGAGGGCACTGCTAACACAGCAGCAGCATGCACATTCAGAGCACTCTGGCATTGCTGCGTGATTTACAATTCATCTGAAGCATGAAGGCCATGTGAGCCATTGCTTTTAAAACACATGCACTGTCGGTCATCACGCTTTCAAACATATTTTAGAATCTAAAATATATTTTAATGCGTGTAAAGACCACTGCACATAATTGTTAGACCATCACTGAATCGTACAGCTCAGCTGGGCCATTGAAAACTTCCCATTATATTTCTCCCCACTTTGTCTTAAGTCCCCCGACTCGTCTCGTCAAAACTGACCGATGAAAACACATCCCCTGCATTAATCTGCTCCATGCTGAGCTCGAACTCCTCCTTACAGCCCTACACCCGCCAAGGTCTCATCATCGAAGCCTACACCCCACACACGCCAAGGTCTCATCATCGAAGCCTACACCCCACACACCCCAAGATCTCATCATCGAAGCCTACACCCCACACACGCCAAGATCTTATAATCGAAGCCTACACCCCACACACGCCAAGGTCTCATCATCGAAGCCTACACCCCACACACGCCAAGATCTCATAATCGAAGCCTACACCCCACATACGCCAAGATCTCATAATCGAAGCCTACACCCCACATACGCCAAGGTCTCATCATCGAAGCCTATACCCTACACACGCCAAGATCTCATCATCGAAGCCTACACCCCACACACGCCAAGATCTCATAATCGAAGCCTACACTCTACACACGCCAAGATCTCATCATCGAAGCCTACACCCTACACACGCCAAGATCTCATCATCGAAGCCTACACCCTACAAACGCCAAGATCTCATCATCGAAGCCTACACCCCACACATGCCAAGATCTCATCATCGAAGCCTACACCCTACACACGCCAAGGTCTCATCATCGAAGCCTACACCCTACACACGCCAAGATCTCATCATTGAACCCTACACACGCCAAGGTCTCATCATCGAAGCCTACACCCTATACCCGCCAAGGTCTCATCTTCGAACCAGTGGGAAGGGCTTCCTCCTGTCGAACTTACAAACGCATCTCTCTGACGCAGCAGCTCAGGCGACTGCCGTGTGGCCAACCCCACTCCGCGTCCCGCTCACTGTGAAAACAGACGCGGCTCCCCGCAGCGGCGTCGAAGAGGCCCTTTGTATCCTCATCTCTCCTCACCCATTTGCCCTGTATTGTCCGTTACTTTTCCTCTTATTTCTCAGTCTTTCCCTTCTCTCTTCCTTTCCCAAGTCCTCCTCCTGTTGCCATTCATTACATCATTGGCTCTTGACCCCCTTCCCGTGGAGTGCCAGTGGTATATGTATTTATACTGGAGGAACCCGATGAGCTATAAAGCTCTTTTCCACATATGTCCAGTAGGGGCGGGTCATAAAGTTACAACAACAAGCAATACAAAAACACGATCAGAGTGCAAAGTATAGGAAAAGTAAGCAAATCATATTAAAATATATGTTTATTTTACCAGATAAATTCCACTGAGTTACGAGATTCTTTTCCAGAAGCAACCTGGCCATTAAGGATAACGCAGTAGCTCCAGGCTGAACCGTAATGACGCGTCGCTGGAGCCCGCTACGGTGCGTGCCGAGGTCTCATCATCGCCATCGTCCAAGCGAACGATCGCGCCGCTTGCCGTTGCGTAGGAAGGGCTTCCTGGGCGCTTGGCTGCCGTGCAGAGGGGGCAGACAGCGCTTCTCCGGGGCCTCCTGGCCGCCGATGGCCCCGGGGCTTCCACCGCCACCGCCGGAACTCGCTCCGCCCTGCGCCGTGCTCCCGCTCGCCTCTCGCGCACGCCGCAGGTAGCTCTCCAGGTAACCCACGGGGTCGTCGGGCCGGGCTTGAATGAGACCCGTCAGCATGCTCTGAGCACGGCCACGGGGGGCGGTGGGGGGGGGTTACTGAGAGAGAGAGGCCGCGGTCGTTCCACCGCGAGACGCGATTCGTAGGTGAGCACAGGTATGAGGTCAAAGTGTTGATGATGAATGATGATCAAAAGAGTGTTGTTGGGCTTCGTTCATTCCCGTTGGCAGTCCCAAATCAAGGGTAGAAATGTCACATAGGAGAAGCACAATAATACGAATAACGTACGACATAGCCTGTCAATTCACTATGGTCAGTGCCAGATATCCTTCCCTGCTGCTGATGATAACCATGAACAGAAATCCAACTTAGGTCACTGGCATCATCATGCAGTGCACTAAACTACTATGCCTCGTGTTGATTACATTAAATGCAAATAAATAAAAATCGTAATTTCCTCTAAAATTTAGACGGTGGGCAATATTAAAATGTTTAAGAGTGACATAGATACCGCACCTGTGTTCAATGGAGTTAAAGCCACAGTGAATTAAAGCCACAGTGATTTCCAGCTGCTCAATGAGCATTGAGCCATTGATGCTCATCTCCCATTTACAACCCTCAGCCAGTGGTGGAAATTCAACATTATTATGGCGGGGGCGTGTCTGTCTATTGGACGACCACTGTTGACTTACTCGCAAATTGGTGCTTATTTTATCGACCCCAGAAGGATGATGGGCCGAGTCAACCGCCCCAATCAGGATTTGAACTCACAACCTTCCGGCTGCGAGCCGCTCGTTTATACCGTCAATCCACTCAGCCACGATGGAGGGTAAGGCTTTAACGTATGAAATAAATACATTAACAGAATTAAATAAAAACCAATATGAAACTGCGTTTTCCATTCTTCCCACTGTGACACATACAGAGCGCGCCTTGAGCATCGATCCCACCTGTTAATCAGCGCTAACCATACACATACATACAGTTGCTCCCCAGTGGCACTGAATTAATGAATGGAGCTTTGCAGCCAGCGGGAGACCCCCTGACACCGAGTGCATCGTTAGTAAGGAAAACCTGGGAATAATACAGAAGCACATGTTAACGCAGCACTGAAATCGCACCGGCGTAAGGACACGGACTACTATTGCCGAGTTCAAAATGTATTGCTCATTGCTATTGTGGGAAGATGCATGTTGTTGTACAACCCTCCAACCCTCGGTAAAAAAGCGAGGCATCGAACCCACAAACCCCTTCTGAAAATGCCTTTGGCGAAGAAGGGGGACGGGGGGGGTAGCCACAGAGATTAAACGGAAAACGACAGAGGTAGGCACAGACGATCTTCCTGAGCAGATCGCAAATTGCTCAGCTCGCAATGAGCAAGAGCGCTGCAGAGTCGCAAACGCTCACCTCGAAGAGCTGTGGGATCTGACGCTGGGCCAGATAATCCCTGGCGTCTCCACCTGCCATCGCCACGGCCACCGCCGCCTCCTCTCGCCGCTCGTCGACTCGGAGCGAGGTTTCGCCGAGTCCGCTGCGCGCGACTACGCTCGCTGCGCGCGGACGGCGCTGTGAATTTTTTATTCCTTCAGATTTTTTCCTCCCTCTCTCTCGCTTTTCGCACCCGCCTCTGCTGCGCCGACGTCTTTGGTTGCGTTGCTCTGCGGTACCATCCCCGGCAAGGCTGCTGTGAGAGTCTCTATATCTGGCTGGCAGGCTATTTCACCGCGCGAAGAATCTTGCTAATTGGCTGTCTGGCTGCGTTGATCTCTAATTGCCTTACGCATTTTTCCGTACCCTATTCTTAACCGGTCTGCGTTTAGGTCTTTATATCCGACTGCCTTAGCTATTCCACTCTGGAATGTCTAAGTAATTGGCTGCCCTGCTAAACTGAAGCCGACGTGTCTTGATAATTGACTCTGCCGATATCACATTCTAAACATCCTCTTAATTTCCGGTTCCCCTTTTTCACCACCCGGTCACAGTTAAGGTTTATACGTTTGGCTGTCAAGCTATTTCACGAAGAGGATGTTATTCCAATTGCTCGCCCGGTTACGTCCCCGTTCCAGATGTCACGCAGCCCCAGGACCAGCGACGAGTCCAGGTAACCTCCAGCCCACGTGGGTGTGCATCTGACAACAACCCTCTTCTCTCCTCGCGCCCTCCCCGCTCCTGGCCGGCTCGAATGTTTGGCCGCGTGCCCGGTAACTGTTGGATCCCCGCTTATGTTTTGCTATTTTATATAACTGTTTTATCTTGGGAGGGTGTGTGTGTGAGATGTTTGTGTGTGTGTGTTTATTATCTATTTGTGTATACCTTCCCCATTTGCCTCCACAACTCGGTGCTGTGGCCAGCTCACCTCGTCTCATCTCCAGCCTGGACGAAAGTTAAAAAAGAGCACGTGGGATGGGGGGGGGGGGCGACGGCGTGAGCTCTCTATTAGCGACGTACGCGGCCAAGCCACGGGAAGCCACAGATCAGACGGGGGATGAACTTCAAAGTTGCTGAAAGGTCGGCGGAGCAATGGCGAGGCACGTGTCCCACATCATTACGCTGATCCGTACCCAGTCACGAAACCTCGCGGTGAATTCGCGAAGTGTTCCTCCCTTCCACAAGAATCTTTCCCATTTTCCCTCGGCAGATACAAATGCACACCATGACACGACAGCCCACCTCAAAGAGGCATCGTCATGGTAAAAAGGGCACCGATTGATTAATTGCACGATTGATTTAGCAGATCAGTGCCCTCACAGTCAAAGCATTATCACTAAAGGTTATACTGTATTTTTAAATTACACATTTTGCAAGATGCCTCGTTAATTCCCCTGTAAATTTCTGTCTTTTATGTCCACACCCCAGCGTGGACTTAAAGTCCCTGTGCTCCCCATTTCAACAGCAGATTAATTCCAAGGCCTATATCTTAAATTGGAAATTCACCAACATAACCTAATAATCATACGATGTAAACCAAATTCAGTTGCTAAAGAAAGCCCTAGTACATGGAGCAAAACGTCAGACATCATGCCGAACAACAAGCTGTATGACCCCAAAAAACAAGCAAGAGAGCTGTACAGCGCAACCAAACAATAGAAATAAAACTACTTTTGTTAATGAACTGTGATTTAACATACTTAGAGACCACATAAAATAATGATTCTCAAACCCGACTTCACAGACGATTAAGGATTTTGTGAAAACATCACGTTTTACCTTGGTGGATGTATTAAAAGCCTGAACAACCTTTAACCGCACAATTCAAAGCTCCAATGTGAAATACCACGGATTTTTTTCCCTTCCTTTCCTCAATTCGTTTAATTTCTGGCAAGAGGCGGTGTGGCCAAATGAAACGTGCCGAGAGATGCGAAGATGATTCTCGAGTCCAGAGGGACCCGTGTGTGGCGTGGGCTGTGTCAGAATAAATTTTGAAATAAAATTTCATGAAATTCCACGGATAGATTATTGGTTCTCTAAAGTACACACTGAAGACCAGAGAGAAGGCATTTTCAGAACTAATTTATCCAATAATGTGGTATTTTTATTAATGTTTCATCTGTTCCCTCTCTCTCAATACCCTTTCTGCCTGCGTCCAATGTTAATGTTGGAATTATCGAATCATAATTTACAGCCCTTTGTCAATCCGCTGCTATGTAATTTCAAGGGGATTGTTTGGATATGCTTCGGCACACTTGGTCAGTGCAGGGATTTGTGAACAGGGGAACCCCAGGGCCAGTTGAGATATCACTCACGCGCGTTTGATTTGTAGGAATCCGACCACATCTGTGTCGTTAAGACCCACCACATGGCAATAGTCACATTACATCTTCTTGTTTACAAGGATTTATCGCACAGATTATTTTGGATTCCGCTAACCGGCAAAATGAAGACCAATTATCGCGACAAAATTTGTATCTAATTGCAAAAATTTTGTTGTGGTCATTGTACTTCAACTCATGTAACCTAACCCAAAACAAATTATGCAAACACCTACGCGTTCAATCGTAGCAATGAAGCCAGGTAATGATGCTCTGTGCCAGCTGGTGCAATGCTTTCACTTGTATGACGCACATCGAGAGGGTTGCAAGTTCAAAATCCATTTGGGGACAACTCGGCCAATTCATCCCCTTGGGGCTCATACAAAAGAGTTGCCACCCTTGCGAGAAAGTCATCAGTGGTTGTCGCATGGATTTACTTACCTCTGCAAGAGGAATGGGGAATTTCCACCACTGTCTCAAGGTGTCTGAATAGAAGACGACAACAATACCCGCCAATCGCCACAAAGCGGCGGTGACGTCACCACGGCGCTTGTGCCTGGCTAGGTGCACTCCGAGGCCACGTGAAGTGTCAAAGGCTCGCTGACAGGAGGTCACGGGACAGACCCAGGTGCCATGGGTTGACTGAGATGACTGGCTGATGAATATGACATAATCACTGCCGCACACACGTGTGTAATCGACAACCCATGTTTTACCTTGTTTTTAACAAGGTCAAATAATACATTGAAGAAAAACACAAGCACATTACACGCCCAGATCTTTGACTCAAATTCAAATGCGTGCCAGAGCAATGAGCTGGAGTGAAAAAAATGAATACAGAATGTGATTTCGCCATTTTTATTCAGAACAGCCAACACTGACGGAGCAGCGGTGAACATGAACCACACAACAACCCGTCCTAAATCATAATCCCCCCCCCGCCTCCTACATTTGTGAGAGGCGCTTTTAGCATCTGTTAAAGTCAGCAATTACGAGCACTTTTACGACCGCGATGGCGGTTAAATTTGTTTTCAAATTAGCTGTAAAATTAATTACGAATATGATGATAACAATGATGATAACTGCTGGCTTTCCTCAGCCACACGCGTGTTGTATATTTCTCGGCGTAAGCAGCGCCTCACGGTAGATTCCTCTCCACGGTGTCGATGATGCTGCTGCTGCTGCTTTGGTAGTGGTGCACAACCACGGACAACCACGACAAAACTCAACCCGCTCGTCAAGAACACCGTGGCAGCCTGAATGAAGAGACAAATATACTTTCATATAGAATTATAAAAGGGCCAATTGCCTGAAACGTCATCTTGGGTGGAGAGATGTTAACTACCTCGCTTGGTATACAGGAAGTCGTGGGTTCGATTCCGACCATGACGCCTGTATATTTGGAGTTTGCATGTTCTCCCCTTGGTCGCATGGATTTTTCTCCGGGTCCTCTGGTTTTCCCTCCATATTTAGAAGCATGAGTTGAGTATTTAGCTGCTATACATTCCCACACGAGAATCCACTTCGTTGAGCTAATAACTGTGGCCAGGTCGCTTCTGAAAAAGAGCTACAGTGAGGGAAAAAAGTATTTGATCCCCTGCTGATTTTGTACGTTTCCCCACTGACAAAGAAATGATCAGTCTATAATTTTTATGGTAGGTCTATTTGAACAGTGAGAGACAGAATAACAACAACAAAAGCCAGAAATACGCATGTCAAAAATGTTATCAATTGAATTACATTTTAATGAGGGAAATAAGTATTTGACCCCTCTGCAAAACATGACTTAGTACTTGGTGGCAAAACCCTTGTTGGCAATCACAGAGGTCAGACGTTTCTTGTAGTTGGCCACCAGATTTGCACACATCTCAGGAGGGATTTTGTCCCACTCATCTTTGCAGATATTCTCCAAGTCATTAAGGTTTCGAGGCTGACGTTTGGCAACTCGAACCTTCAGCTCCCTCCACAGATTTTCTATGGGATTAAGGTCTGGAGACTGGCTAGGCCACTCCAGGACCTTAATGTGCTTCTTCTTGAGCCACTCCTTTGTTGCCTTGGCCGTGTGTTTTGGGTCATTGTCATGCTGGAATACCCATCCACGACCCATTTTCAATGCCCTGGCTGAGGGAAGGAGGTTCTCACCTAAGATTTGACGGTACATGGCCCCTTCCATCGTCCCTTTAATGCGGTGAAGTTGTCCTGTCCCCTTAGCAGAAAAACACCCCCAAGCATAATGTTTCCACCTCCATGTCTGACGGTGGGGATGGTGTTCTTGGGGTCATAGGCAGCATTCCTCCTCCAAACACGGCGAGTTGAGTTGATGCCAAAGAGCTCCATTTTGGTCTCATCTGACCACAACACTTTCACCAAGTTGTCCTCTGAATCATTCAGATGTTCATTGGCAAACTTCAGACGGGCACGTATATGTGCTTTCTTGAGCAGGGGGACCTTGCGGGCGCTGCAGGATTTCAGTGCTTCACGGCGTAGTGTTACCAATTGTTTTCTTGGTGATTACGGTCCCAGCTGCCTTGAGATCATTGACAAGATCCTCCCGTGTAGTTCTGGGCTGATTCCTCACCGTTCTCATGATCATTGCAACGCCACGAGGTGAGATCTTGCATGGAGCCCCAGGCCGAGGGAGATTGACAGTTCTTTTGTGTTTCTTCCATTTGCGAATAATCGCACCAACTGTTGTCACCTTCTCACCAAGCTGCTTGGCAATGGTCTTGTAGCCCATTCCAGCCTTGTGTAGGTGTACAATCTTGTCCCTGACATCCTTGGAAAGCTCTTTGGTCTTGGCCATGGTGGAGAGTTTGAAATCTGATTGATTGATTGCTTCTGTGGACAAGTGTCTTTTATACAGATAACAAGCTGAGATTAGGAGCACTCCCTTTAAGAGTGTGCTCCTAATCTCAGCTCGTTACCTGTATAAAAGACACCTGGGAGCCAGAAATCTTTCTGATTGAGAGGGGGTCAAATACTTATTTCTCTCATTAAAATGCAAATCAATTTATAACATTTTTGACATGCGTTTTTCTGGATTTTTGTTGTTATTCTGTCTCTCACTGTTCAAATAAACCTACCATTAAAATTATAGACTGATCATTTCTTTGTCAGTGGGCAAACGTACAAAATCAGCAGGGGATCAAATACTTTTTTCCCTCACTGTATACAGCTCCAATGGGCCTTATCTGGCAAAATACAAATTTTGGTTTATTTAATGCAAGATGACTTCCTGCTCAAACGAAACTTGCTTTACATTTCCACACGATATGCCACTTCGTTGCGCTATCATTTGTGATAGCCAAGTTGCTTCTGAAAAAGAGATATGCAGCTCAGTGGGCCATACTTGGTCAATAAAAAAAAGTTTCATTTACTTAAGCTTTTATTTTTAGGGCCCCAGTGTGACTGACGCGTATGTTGAGATTTTCCACCTGAAAAAGATGCCGCGGCCACCACCGGCCTCCAGCCATTCTCTCTCCGCTGCCGGATAAAATAATG